TGCTGTGATTTGTTTCTGTTTGATGGCGTTTTTGTTCTGTCACAAACTGTATGTATGATGGACTGAAGTCTCTGGATATGTGGATGCTGTTAAACTTCTGACTGATACAGTGTCCACACACTGAATGGAAGCAACTCATCTACAGTGTAAGATTCAGCCAAGATCAGTTAAACTACATATGGTTACCTTATTAACGCTGATAAACTAATTTCCATAATTCCTTTAAGTCCGTTTTCTTTTTATTATTTCAACTGCCCAGAAACAAATTCTAAATAACAAATGTGTTTTCAGGGAGACTAACGTGAATATTCTGTAAGAAATATCAGCCATGAAGTTCAGCCAAAGTGAATTGGAATTGTGTTGTACAGAATATTTAGAATATCGACTTGTTAACTTATATTTAGTATTGGTCAGTACACAGGTCAGCTAACTCACAAGATGGTTGTTCTCTCTTCTAGTTGTGTGTGATCTATGAGGCAGCGCTCAGACCCAACGTGGTCTTAAAATATTTGGTAAAGTGACCACCACTGTAGAACAGGAGTCATGTTTCTGAGCATGTCAGTGTGCAGGGTCAACATAACCCGGTTAGTCATGTAGCACAGTTTATAAAAAAAAATACCATAACCTTAGTCTTGCCTTAAAAACTACTTAGTAGTCGTTCACACTGCATTGTATATTTGTACATATTATTTACTACAGTATAATATAGTGTTGTTGTAAACAGAACAGGAAACCAGTTTTTCCAAAACTAACATTTTATCACATATTTATGTAATTTAATCCAATGAAAGAAAACAGTCAGAACTGTGTAGCAACCTGCAAGAAACTAAGCACAAACTAATGAAGATTAATGGTCCGGGGTTTAAGGATTTATCGTTCAAATTTGAATAACATTTTACACCTCTGAACGTGACTATTACTGTAGTACAAGTCCTGTGCAACATGAAGCATTTTAACCAACACAACTGTGTGTATCATTAACATTGTATTCCATTTAACAATGTTCTATTGGACAGAGCATGATGTCATTAAACACAACAGCTCTTGTTGTTACATGATTTAGAAAACGAATGTATCAGACAATCTGGCTTTATTAATCACAATAGCAACTCTGGCTCTGTTTGCTGTTACATTCTCCTACTTAATTATAATTACAGTTCTTGCTTAACTCTACACACTATAGCTTTATTTTGAAAATGACCGCAGTTACTTTTTTTATCTGCCTTTAGGTGTGTGACCATGATCAAAGTTCAGTCCAAATGCTGAAAGTGGTCTCATTCTATATTTGACTTTAAACCCAGTTTTGAGTCAAACAAGGACCAGCCTGTAGAGTTCCCTCAAAGGTGGTCCGCATATTGTCAGAAATGAATTGTTATGCTCTGATCTAGAAAGGAGTGGTCCTGAGGTCACTCTGATTGTGGGTTTGCAGTTGTGAGTCCAGTACTCACGGCAGATGTGCTTCTTACTTCAGATGGAGAACATGAAACATGGGTGAGGTCTCCTGTACTTCTCCATGTAGTAATTATCTTTTTTTTCTCCACCATTTAATTAAGTGCAACTCTCCTGACACTGTGCGCACCAACCTCCTGCTCCTTCCTGACTTTCACGGTAATTGCGGCACTCAAGAAAAATGCATTCCTTTTCCGTCAATATTACAAGCCTCAAATCATCAGTCTTGTGAAATGCTGGAATAAGTCGAGTTATTTTAGGAGAGAGCAGCAGTTTAGGGGGCCGGGCAGCAGCAGGGAGGCAAGAGAAGAAACGTCTCTTTCATCCTGCTGCTGCTCTGACACAGATTAGTCATTCATTGGTAAATTGTGTCTTTGAAATTTGGAGAAATTGTAATTTGAGCTATTTATTCTTTTTGATGTAGATTTGAAATGTAAGCTACAATTGTGGATAGCATACCAAGACGGACTGTAACAAGTTGTAGCATTGTGTTTTTATGTGGCCCATGTATGTGCTATACTGTACCTCAAAATAAATTGCTTTAAATTTTAACTATTTCCTTTAAAATAAAGAGCATTATTGTTAAGTTTTGCATCTTCAAATGTGGTTCAATCAGTTGTTGTTTTTGTCAACATACTTATATTATACATACTTATACTTATATTTCATATTTGAAATATAGAAATGAAGTTATTTGTTGATAGTTTGGTGTGTCTTGTGATTCATTGTGTGGTCAGATGAAGAAAAGAAATCACATCTAAAAGAAGCCAGAACTTTAGATAATACTGGATAATTTTAGCTTTCTTTCACAAAACTCCCTCCGCAGCAGAGAAGCAAAAGAACATTGTTTTAATAAAATCTAATGCTATTATTTTGTCAAAGCATTTACCAAAACACTGGAGATATATCACAAATACTGGATATGAAAAATGCACCGATGCACAGATGGGGTTGGCAAAGGTCTTGGTCACAAATACTGGATATGAAAAATGCACAGATGGGGTTGGCAAACTCACAGGCCAAAATGAGGTTTAAACCTTGATTGGTCCGATGGTTCAGTGTTCGTTGGCGTAGGATGCCTAATTGGCTGTATTTGGCCCATGGGCCGTATTTTGGGCAGTTCTGCTATGTATGTTTAGTAGAGATTCTGAGTAACATGACAGAAAACACTGGAGGTAAAAACTCTATACATGGTCAAATAAAAGGTGTAATTTTTAGGGATAAAAGCTCAGTGCAGCTACTGTAGGTCAGTTCCAGTGTAAATGACCTACAGTATGAAACTGAAGAGCATTTATTATAACGCCTGTATTTCAACACGTACCTACAGTAATAGAACAGGTCCTAACATGTCAACAAAGAGACTGAGGGGCTGTGACGTAACATTTCCCTTTGTTAAACTTTTTTCTGTTTATAATCAGTTAAACATGTCATGGCCTGAATGGCCTTTGGTCCTACAGGTACTAGTTGGACTACATATTACTGGCTTTTACCATCTTGTCTGTATTTTCTGTGCTTTACACACACAAACACACTCTTACTGAGTTTGGGCAAAGTGAAAAAGATGATTGTGTGTCACTGGAATGTGCACTTGTGGTTGTTTATAGCAAAAAAGCTCCGTGTGTCTCTGTGTTTGCATTCTCCTCATTCTTTCCACTTATTACACAGTCCTTGACACGATCATATACACTATTTTAAAATAATGCTATGTGAATCTTTTTTCCTCTATATCTGAACATGTATTTTGTCATTAATGATTAAAATGTACATTTTATTAAATTAGTATTATTTATTTTCTCTTATTTATTTTATGTTTTTATTCGCTTGAGTTTTTTTGTGTTTACTAACAATTAGCATGTAGCTCCCTCCTCCTGACCACTGAAAGAATATGAAGTAAATGTGCTCCTGTATTGGTTCGTATAAAACTAATCCGTTAATTTTTCGTAAAAACGAAAACCCACAGAATAAAAAAACACATTTAGTGTGATAACTACCGTTAAAATATTCACAGAATTAAAGATATATTGCACATAACGTGTTTGAATCGTTTAAGCCGCGAAACAGACATAGCAGACTGCCACTAGATGGTGTTGTCAACACCTCCTCTTTACACGCACACACAGACGTGCTCCGTCAACTACAGACAGGGTTCAGTCACTCAGCAGCAAACTGTACAGAAGGCGGTCCACCTCTCAGCGAACACACACGAACTGCGAACAGAATACAAGTAAGTTTTTCCACAGTTTTAATTTCCCTTCTTGGTGTGTCTCTTGTATGAATAGATATATTTATTTTGTGTAAAAACAACTTTTATGCTCAGACTTTTGGTGTCGTTCTTATGCCCCAACTGCATTTTCATTTACGGTTGACGTAAAGTCAACCATAGACTGTTAGCGGTCAAAATATGTGCACTGGATTTTTAAACTTCTTGGGGTTAAACAAAAGGTAGAATTTAAACTTTTAAAGCCACCCTTACAGCTCAAGACTTCTTAATGTCCGAGCAGGGAGCTACCAGTCATCGTCTTCACTTTCAGTGACTTCGCTGTTGCTTTGCGTTTCACTGCTTTTTATTTCAATCTCCAACACAGGGGACATAATGTGGGGTATTTCCAGTGGAAAGACTTTACACCTTGCAGTAAAATCCATCCAAAGATCAGCCTTGTTCTACAGTAATAGGTTGATAAGTTAAACAGACCGTATAGCGTTTAAACAAATATCTCTCGAAGGATCATAACGCTATTGACTATTTACTAACCATTTTGGTCATTGATTTTGTTCTTTAGTTTGGTTTTAAACGATATTGTATCTGATTATTACAATGAATATATTTGGTGAGGGGCCAAAAATAAAGTTAGTGGGGACCTTTTAACCCGCAATTTCTGACAGTTGATGGAACAAATAATTCACTAAAATTACAGACGAATCAGTTGTCAAAAACAGATGTAAGGTGTTTAAATAAAGGAACGTAATCTGATATGTTTTAATTGAACAGGTAACAGGGTGTGGATATATATGTGTATAATATATATACTAATTATTTAATAATTATATAGCATAAGAATACAAATATGTTTGTAATATTGTTGGATATATTGCAGATATACAGAGTGGAGTATTTGGTGAACTGTCGTACATGGTCGTCTAGGAGACAATGTTATTTTTAAAGATATGTTTCTGTGGTGAACTGTGCTGAGGTATTACTATTCGAAGCACCACAGATTTGTGGCAGCATTGTCTTACCACAGTGTTTTTGTAGCCTTCTATCATCACATACACATCTGTGTAATATTGTGTTTTAAATTTGGTACAAATGCCTTGTCTGTACTTCTGAATTACTATCAGTAAGGTTGTTGTGTCTCAATGGTAATTTCTAATGGGGAATGGTCTAAGTTACTTACCTGAAGTATATGACTAAGATGTAAACCACTGTAATACTTGAACTTGTATCTCAGTTTAACCCACCAGTGTAAGATCGGTGGGGTTTCCACCTCTTTGTCACATGGATTTCCATAAATGTGAATACCCTATGTTTCACACTTCACCAATTTTTCACACTTTCAGTGGAGAGAGATTTCTTTGTACATGAGTAATCAGTTTTTTTTTCTCGTTTCATTTGTGAGTATTGTAATGTCTTACGTGGAGGTTTTAAAATAGAACAAACAAAAATGTTTGTCTATGATCGGTCTCCATCTCTTACAGCAACCACACAGATGCAATGCCCTTAAGTAACATAGGATATTATGCAGTTGCACCTTTGTCTCACCACACTGAGGAAAAATGTCTTTGCTTAGAAAAAAAGCAGCTGTTTGAGGTCAGTGAGTGTGGAAAGTTCAGATGAGTCATTTCCACCTTTCTTCTTTTGTATTTACTCATTGCACATGGTTTCTGCACCATGAACCCAGATCTGGTCCTTTCTTCTCCTTCTCTTGTTCAAATAAACTTCGTTGTGTCCTGATTTCAAGGGTATTCTGAATACACTGTTACCCTGAGACACAGCTAACACTGTTCCTAGGAACTGCTGTTTGACTTTGCTTTAAATTTCCATTGCACTCCCCAGCCTTAATTTTCCTCATGCTGGAAGAAATGTGTCACCATCTTCCAGGATAGTTGTTATTATTTTTGTGATTATTTCTTTTAGCATCACATCTTTTTTATCTTTTCTCTATTTAAACTGAGATATCTATGACAGTTCTTTCCTATGTTTGTTTTTTAATCTGCGTTCATCAACGTTCATCATCGAACCATTCAGACTAATCTTCACTTTGAGATAATCTTCCTGTGACCATAGTACTGTATTCAGTTTGGTGAAAAGTGAATTTAATATGACAGCTAATTTAACATATACTTCCTTTTTCACTCAATTTATTTTTAAACTTTATTACATCGAAACTCATTTCCTGTTCTGAGGGGGAGTGTGATGTTGTTCTTGTAAAAACACTGGTAGAAAGACATCCTGCTAATAAGAGGAAGAGCCCTACATTCACATACTACTGTGAGAAGTAAACATATACCACCACCCCCACCACCCCTTCTGAGGATGTTGAAAGTGCTTATACTGTAGGATAGCTTTTGTTAGCAACTGTAATGTCCGCTAATGGGGTTGTCCTCATACCATTTTTTACAAACTGATACAAGTACAAGTATTTTCATAGATATACTCACTCAGTCTCTTTTACTTCATCTCATAATTGAAAACATGTCTGTATTTGTTCAGAGACTAGAGTGTGTTCTGAATTGTTGCTGGATTTTCTGAGCTAGCCTTTGCAGCTATGGTTTTCAACAAAGTAAATGTATCCATTAGTTGTAGGATCATGACAGGAACACATGCTGTGCACTTTAGAAATTAAAGGTAAAATAGAAATGGTCGTGATTCTACAGCTGTGGAGAGAACACCCTGTATACATATAAACACCCTTGCTATTTTCCCTTAAAATGGAAAACAATTGCTTGTGGTAAGGATTTCCCCTGGTATTATGATTACCTGTCTCAAACATGTGGTCAGAAAATGCTTCCTGTTTAATTCTAACATGGTTCCAACCTGGGCAGCGTGTGTCTACAAGCCTCATATTTGTGGCTCGTTCACTTTAGCACTCATCAGTTGCTGATGTTTTTCACATTATTTGTTTAATTCATGCATTCTCGCTGTTGTTTTGTTTTTAGAAGCGTCACCATGGGGAAAGGATGCATCACAGTCGTCAAGTACTTTCTATTCCTCTTCAACCTTCTCTTCTTTGTAAGTCATTTTTGTTCTTGATTACCATGCAAGATTCTCAGTTTAAAAAAAATAAAATAAAGAACTGATACTGGATCACTTTATTCCAGTTCAGTCTTGTCACAATGGTCTTTGTGAACACAAGTATTCCAAAAACCAGATTGTCATTTTGCATTTTAGATTTAGATTAGAGTTTATATGACTTTGGTGCCATAACCCTTTAAAAATGAAGACATACCCAAGATTAATCATAAACATAAGATATATTTTCATGAACAAAATGTTTCCTGAAGGACTATCAGCTGAGGAAATGAGGAGAACCTATGAATAAATGGAAGAAAAGTCTGAGAAATCCTGAAATCTTTGGTCTTGACCAGTTGGTTCAAGATTAGTACATACATGTAAAATGGTATTTTATTTAAAAAAAAGGTGGAATTAGTGGTCCGTGTACTGCACTCAAAGCCCGAGCTTCCTCATTACTGATTGCAGAGGGTGGTTAATGTGCTGCAGTCACTTCTGATGTGGCGTCAAATCCCACTCTCCTAGATGATGACCCACTTTTTAATTCCACCACTTATCTGTGTCTGTGCTGTTTGACAATAGTAATGGCTCCCAGGTTTTCATATTAGACATCGATTATGATACACGTGAAAATATTACAGTGCTGTGACTTTACAGTCTATCTCAACACCTAAACAGCAGCAGATGCTTTGTTTCCTTCTTGCTCATGTTGTGAAGTCCAATGGGTCGCACAACTCCAGACTTCTAAAGCTGACAAGGATGATGTCCAGACTTTTCCAATGAGTGTGTGGCTGTAAACTTGACACAGACCTTTTGATGTAAATGTTTTGTCGGTGTCTTAAGAGGAAGCATGTGTGTCTGTGCCAGTGTTTGTCCACGTGGATATATTTACTAGGGGGAAGCCAGGAAGTGGTGGGCTAATGATGGTGGCTGGGGGGCACTCTGATTGAACACCTCTAATTACTGTTGTCTGGATGGGCCATGAGTGGTGGATCTGGGGGGGATCTGAGAAATCACAAAGCTTCTCATTTTTAAATATGGGCCTCAACAAGCCCTTGATTTGATCTTTTAACAACTTCACCAACTTGGCCAGGATCTGAAAAAAAAGGCTGTTTCCTGACTTTTAAGCTCAATATATTTTTTAAAAATGCATCATATAAGCTGTGTGATACAGCCTTACAGGGAAATACATGCCTTGACTCCTCCTATTGATGAGTTGCAAATTCATACAGCTCTATATTTACACCTGATTTGTGTAACAGCGATGGAGTGTAATGTGTGTATTTTCACACTCAGTAGTTCAAATTTCTCAAATCTCGAGGTCTGAGCGATGGACTATAGAATTAAAATAAATCTTCCTAATTCACACTCACATGTCTTGGCTAAATTCTCTAATTATTTTATAGAGAAGGTTGGATATCTAACATTTGTATGTTTCTCATCTCCATAGATCTCCGGAGCTTTGATCATGGGCTTCGGACTCTGGGTTCTTTTTGACAACCAGAGCTTCATTGCTGTTCTGCGTAAGTGTTTTTACACTCACACACTCACTCGATCGCGCTGCCACACCTTGATAACAGACTCTGTGCACTGTTGACCTAGCCAGCAGTGGAGATAAAAATAGACACATTTAGAGATTGACAGTCAGATGTTCTAATCCCAAAACAACGGTTCTAATTCTTTTGGTTTATGCTAAAATCTGGAAATGGAAGAGAAAATTATGACGCAGTCTTTTCAAAGTGGGAGGTTATTGAGTACTAAAAGCTGAGTATAAATAAAAGCAGAGTTCTTACTGAGTATTACATTTTATGTCGGAAAACAGCAGCTTTATTCCCCGCCACTGTTTCCACAGAGTGGCACTGTAAACTTTGCTGTTGTCTCAGTTGTCCAGATGGTAGAGTCACACAGAAGGAACCTTGTGATCTCACAGAGATTGTCACTGCACTGAGGCACAGCAGGGGAGTTTTTAATACTTCTGTGTTACTCCTCAGTGTTGTCTTCAGCGACGTGCTGTCTTACTATGTCTGTGAACGGTGAAGATTGTAGTGAAAGTATTATGGAAACCAGCTCCAGCCTCGCCTGAAACGAAGGGGGAATGGAGGCTGGAAAATCTGAGTGGCAATAAATCTTGTTATAAATTCTTGCAGTGTATTTTTCCCAGATGGAGAACTGCTGCTGCTGAGTGGAGTGGTGGAGCTTCCTCCCAGTTTGTGCAGAAGAATTCAACACTTTTTACTTTAATACACAGATGAACATAGAAAGTTCTGCCACAAAGATTTGAGGATTAACAGACCTAGTTATCTGTGCTTAGAATCTTCTCAAATGGGTTAAAATGTAAATAACTGTTAAATTTACTTTTTTGACACGCGTAAATATGTGTGTGAAATCCTCACTTAATATTACAAACATCCAATTGTTCTGAATGAAGCAGTTACAGTATAAAGCCACACATTGAATGTAGTTTGTTTCATCCTTCAAATATATCAATACATTTAGACATTTATTCATCAAAATATTTGCAGAAGACGTCACATTTTAAAACATAATCATGAAATTTACGTTTCACTTTCAATTTATTTTTTCATGTTCAGTGACACAGATTTATTTTATTCATAATAGTTTCTTTTGAGAAAAATGTTCAGTAACATTAACTTTGTTTATTTGGAAGTTCTGAATGGAACTGTACTGATCTGATGTGGTCTCAACACATCCTGGCATCTGCTGTTTTGGCTAATGAGCGTGAAAATCTGTAGTTATGACGAAGACCTTCCACAACTGACCTTGTGTCCTTAAATATTCAGTCTGATTCCTATTTTCCAACTTTCCCTCTGAAGGTCACTGCCGACTCCAAGGTTATCATTGAGCTGAGTTTGCTTATCTGCAGTCAGGCATTCATAACACAAAGCCTGTACACCATCTATTTTCCTTGCCAGCTCCAGTCTATTGTTACATTAAACTAGCTGTTTCTCCAGAGATAGCAGAGATCATGGTTCCCAGATACCCTGAGGATATCCCTTCTGCTGCGTATGAGCTGTGACGACCTTCTCTTCTTCACGTTGTTTTGTCCCCTGTACCCTTGGATGGGTCAGTCTCATCTTTTTCCATGGAAATGAGTGGAAATCTTTCACCAATCTGTGAAGGAATAGAAGCCAAAGCTGCACACAGCTCTGTTTATTGACCTAGCTTTCTCCACTGAAGCTGCACCAATGGCTAACCATAAACAGGATCTCTGTGTTTTCAGTTTCCATTCTTTGGGGGTGATATTATTAGACACTTCTGCAGCTGTCTAAATGAGTTCAAGCAGGGAAACCAAGGGAGGATTGGTCTGTTATCATTTCTTCACAAATACAATCTACCGTAGAGCCCATGGCATTAACACAGTGAAGTTTTTTGCATGCTTCAAAACTGTACTTGCCACGTATTAAAGGTTGTTTAATTTAGAAACTTTCCACAGAGCCAAACAAAGAGAACCCAACTCACTCGGGGATCGTTTTTCTCCAAGTCAACAGAGGCTTAGGTCCAGCTGTATACAAGCTGCATGTTCTTCTCTGCTCTTAAAGGGCAACAGTCATCCATCAGCTACCAGCAGCTTTCTGCAACGCACCGTCTTCACTTGGCCCTTTAAATGGAGAGTTTCATGGAAACTACCCCAGGAGCTCATTTAGTAAAAGGACCAACCTGGAAACGTGCCATTGTACATGACAGAGCAGGACCACATGCTGACTGTAGGAGAAGTATATGTTTTAGTTTTCACCACAGAAGAAAACAGATGTTGGCTCCTCAGCTAGAAACATGTCAAGTACAGTATCAGTTGCTCTGCAGCTAAAATACAGCTGGGTGGTGGTTTTGGAGACATCTTTTTTGTTTAACTTATAATTGTTGGTGGATGGTGAAGGAAGTAGTCTATAAAATGTCACAACACAAGAACATTGGTCTGCTGAAGTGGCATGAAGTGGTCGGAGCGCAGTACTATTTTGTGGCCACATGAGTGTTACATGACATTTTTTTTGTTTTTTGCAGTGTCTTTACTGGAACAAGTGTTTTTTTACTGGAACAAGTGGTCAGAGGGTCAGAGAATAACCAGAAACAAACATCTGTCTCTGTTTAAGTTCCCAAATATTTTCCTTAAGTGACTGTTTATAATATCATTTATTGAGAGTTCAGTCAAGCAAAAGTGAAACTAAAATGTGTTTTAACTATTCACCGAAATAACATATGTACATAAGTACAGCCCCAAAATGCTATATATATAACATTTCTGGAAAAACTAGCCAAAATCTATTACTGTCTGCCAAAGTCTTCACAAAATGGGCTGAGTTTTTCTGAGTTTGGTTTTGTTCGCTTGGCACAGATATATTTTGGGGATAAAGCCATTTCACAGTACTGATATTTTTTTCTTTTTTTGTCAAACTGAGCTATGATTCTGGAGCGTCTCCAGCCCAGATAAGGCAGCCACATAATAACTTTAGTTTATCGCCTTCTAAAGTGCTTCTTCTGTGCCAGCCCCTCTTCCTGAATCCCTCTCGCTCCACATACCAAAGGGTGAACTCAATTATCTTTTCCACATATTGACTGGTCCTGATCCAGCTCACCCTGGTGGCCTAATAAATCATCTTTCTGAAAGACACTTGAGAAAACGCTGAATTCAGAGTTGACATTGTGTTTCATGAAAAATTCTTGTGCCGCTCTCTTCATCTGCATTAAATGATTTTTGAGCTGCATTGTTTACAAGCACACGCTATTATAGATAGAAAAACAGAAGCAAAGGTCACGACCCCCTTATTTGATCCTAGAAGTCATGTCGAGTCTTCTTGATGTTTAAGTTAATTTAGAAAAGATTTGCTTTTATATATTTTTCTTTTCTCTTTTCCCAGACGATTCTTCAGACACCATCAAAGTGGCTTCATACATCTTCATCGCTGTGGGTTCACTCTCAATGGCCATGGGCTTCTTCGGCTGCATTGGTGCCATCTATGAAATCCGTTGTCTGCTGGGTCTGGTGAGGAAAGTTCAGACTCAGAACATGCAACTTGTTTTTATTCTCATTAGAGCCATAGTCTCATTTAACATCCTTGCCTTGAAGCAGCTCTGAACAAAGACGACGTCAGGAACTTGTGTAAGAGTGTGTGTCATGACCACACAGGAAATCGTCGCAGAAAACACACAAAAGCATTGCCCCAATTTTTGTTGTTGTTGTAATTCAGTATTTTGTAGAGACGTGGAACATGCCCTAACAAGCGTAAAACACTTTCTATGGTGAAGTTGAAAGTATGTCACTACTGTTGTTTGACACCTACTGTTGAATGAACCTGCTTCAAATGCCACGCTTGACTGAGAACAACTGATGGAATATTAGTGACACTGAGCTCTGCAGTGTGTGGATTTACTCAGAGGAGGAGGAGGTCTGATGGGGATAAAGTCCCTCAGTTGTGAGGGGGTGACAACAAGCGTGGGGATGGGTGCACGACCTACACAGAGTACAACCTGCTACCAGTTTAACTGAAAAAACTGCTGTGACCTACTTCTGACAGTGACAGTGACCAGCTGGCTGCCACACACACACACACACACACACACACACACAGACTCCTTTTTTTTGTCTTCATATACACATGCTGCATTCCTAACCCTAACATCTTACAGAATTTAACCCATATCTTAATCCTTACCTACACTGTAATCTAACCATAATTATAATCCTAACTCCAAACTAAATCTTGAAACCTAATAATACACTCTCACTAATGAAGTCCCCACAACAAAGGTTTCTATATAATATGTCCCCAGGACTATAGCCATACCAGACACACATTTCAGTATGCATGATTCTGATTTTGTGGCGCTTTGGCCCAGAGGCAATGTCTCTGTCATTGGTGTGGAACCCCAGGTTTCACCTCCTGGGCAAGTTTGAATCCCGGTTAGGGCGGTTGGTACCTTCCAGTGGACTCACCACCCGCAGGAAGGTTTGGGGGGTTGGTACGGTGCAATGTGATTTGGATGGCGACTGCTGTCCCCGCGACCCGGTAACGGATAAGCGGGTGAAAATGGAAGGATGGATGGATGGATGGATGGATGATTCTGATTTTTTTCAGCTCTTGCTGAGCTTAGTATGTTGGTATTATTTAACTGAAAATATTACATATAACGTTTTTCTTTTAATCCAGCATTTTTAAATTTAAATATTTTATGCTCTACTCTTTTACAGTACTTCACCTGCCTCCTCCTCATCCTCATCGCTCAGGTCACAGCTGGAGTCCTCATTTACTTCCAAAGAGAGCCGGTAAAAACACCCACCCACCCATATGAATCCCCATCTCCTCGTATCGTAGTCTTTTGGTTTCACAGCATCATAATTCCCCCTCCTGTTTCTACACTTGGTTATTATAATTTTTTCTTTTACTCTTTTCCGTTCCACCAATCCGCCCTCCTCTCACCCTGTGACCTTTTACACCACTGTTCTGCTGCTGCTGCAGCGCTGAGTGGTGTTTGTGCTTCCCTTCATTGCAGCTGTGTCTCACAGCATGTGGGTCAGAGCCAAAACAGGCTCACAGCTGAACAAATGTCAAAGTGAAAAGATTCTGAGTGACTCAGGTGCAAATACCATTATAATAGTATCTGTAATATCTTGATCCCAAGTTTATAAACTTGGGATCAAATGATTCTAGTTTTAATAATATTGCTGTATTTGCATGTGAGGAAATGGAAATAACAAAGAAACAAACTCCTCTTAGCTGATAAAACTCCTTCCATTTCAGCAGTTTTAGTAGTTTCTTGTTGACCTTTCAGCAGTTTCTCTTCCAGCATGTGTTTGTGTTTGTACACTCTCCTTCAGCTCGTTCCTCTCTCTCTCTCTCTCTCTCCCTCTGAACATGTGTGCATGTTTGTTTTTAGCTTGCGACAGCCCGTAGTGCTCCCTGTGCTTACAGCTCACCACAGGGCAGGGTGGTGCTCTCTTCCAAAAGAGGGTGAGGCTTTCACCCGTCTCCAGTAGAGCTCTGAAACTACAGCGCTGCTACCGTTCTGTGGTCTTACTCACATAAACATAGTCCAACTCCCACTCAGCTAAATTTGTGCCATGTTTTAGCCCAGAATGTTTTTCACACGGCAGTGCCCCCTGGGACAGCTTTGAAAATCAGAGGTTGTGAGAAAATTGAGAGTTCAACCCCCCACCCTCCCCTCCCCAGTCTGGGTGTGTGTTGTAGTTTGTCTTATTCTTAACTCAGTACACGATGAAAAACTTCTCTAGGGTTAGGTATTGGTGTTACTTCCAAACCCAAAACCCTTATTTTGCTGACATGTCGTCTCCTTCATAGTTGAAATACGAGATGTCCAACATCATAAAGGGCATGATGATCAACTACACTGGTCAGAACAGGACTACGGAGCACACATGGGACTACATTCAGCGGAAGGTGAGTCCGACTGGGACAGAACACTTTTACACCAAGAACAAAACATTTGCTTTTATCTATTCTTTATCACTAGTTTGGGCCAATCGTTTCCTGTAAACCCTTTCACTGACGGATTTGTGTTTTGTTTTTAAAAAAATTCACACTGTAAACACTACAGTAAATACAGCTACAACAGCCTGTTAGACATGAAATCACTCAGTAACATGAATGTAAAACAACAGGGTGTATTTTTAGAAACATTGTCTCTGATGTAAAAGCAGCTTGTTACCCTCAGGGTCTGATTACATATTCATCATCACAGAGCTGCGTGGTGTCTGCACTTAGGAGAGAACAAAGAAACTACACATTATTGCCGAGTGTGCACTTACAGTACAGTTACTGTGTACACATTATTGCCGAGTGTGCACTTACTGTACACTGTACAGTTACTCTGTTGTCCTGATGCTTTAATGTGATTTCAATTTCTTTTTTTCAGGACTTTCATGATTAGCAACAAGAACAAACAACTTAGTATTTTTAAGCTGGGTTAAAAAAAAGAACAAACAAAGATCAGTACAGCTATAACTGTGTTAACTAACAACACGTGCAAACAGACAAGTACAGCTATAACTGTGTTAACTAACATGTGCCACCGACAACAAACAGATGGTTCGCTTTAACCTGGCTTCACACTAGCTATCCAATATTTTTATCATTTCACTGAGCTGTAAAAAAATACAGATTGTTTATATTATGCATGAATATTATTGTTCAAGCTTCGATGGACTATTTAAGCTTTTTGAATGTGAAATGTGTAATTTTCTAAAAATTATGATGTGTTTGATTGGCATCAGAAATGATACATCAAAATGATACCTTACATGTAATATTTTGTGTCTTGTTTTCACTTTTATTGTCTTTCATTTGACCTTTCTCTTTCTGTCACACCCACAGATGAAGTGCTGTGGATGGACCGGTCCAGGAAACTGGACTGATAACCTAATCATCAAGAACAGCTCCCAGTTCCTGTATCCCTGTTCCTGTCGGAATGATAACCTGCCAGGCACCGATGTTCAAGAAGTGGGTCTGTGTGCGCACACGTCCACACAACTGCCCGTCTTTGAAACGGTGAGTCCCTGCACAACGCCAGCTTTAAAGGAACAGTCTGATTGTTGTTCTTACGTGTGTCTGTGTGAAGACAGTTAGCCTGTTCAAACCAGACTGTCGTCACCTATGTATGAAGTCAGATGTGAATCTGTGGAGCACGTGACTCCATGAGGCCTTTTGTCTGTGTTCATACTCTGAGCACTGACGTCACTGTGTTGAACATGAGGAAGTACTAAGATGTCGCCAGACAGAGAGAGAATCAACCTGTTTAGTTCACGGTCGAGACACTATGTTGACTGACACAATTACCAAATGGATAATAAATGTTGTCCAGAACAAGGTTTAAAAGCAACTCTGTACAAACCTGTGTAAAGATTCAAGATCAAACATATGAAGCTAGATTTTCCACTAACTGATTGATAATTCCATTATGTCACAAATGAACAGGTGTGAAACACAACCATCGACCTGCTGCTATTTGTTTTCCTTTTTCAGCAATATACAGGGAATTGAATTGAATGTTAATTACAACACTAAATCATTATTAATCATGATGAATCTACTCTACTGTTCTTTGATAGCCCTTATATAGTAATATTTTGAAAAATACAAACTTTTGATTGCCCTATTATATATGTGAATATATAATGGTGAGTTTAATGACACAATATCTAATACATATTTTATTTAAATGAGGTACAGCTGAGGATTCTCCATTTAGAAACAGGGGGTTTTATTAGCCATTGATCATTTATGTGTACTTTTTATATTTATTTTTTATCTTAATTAAATTTGGCTTTTTAATTGGGGACATTTTATCTTCAGTTCCAGAACACATTCAGTTTCCCTGAAGCTGTAACAAAAACACAGCAGCAGCAGCAGCAGCAGCAGCAGCAGCAGCAGCACGCCTGCATTGTTCTGATTAACCTGATGTTGTCAGTATTCAGCCTGACGTGTTGAAACTCTGCCCCTTATCAGCAGAGCTGAGAGTGAAGTTTGTGGGCGTTGATTAGTTTCAAAGATGGAAAATTCAACCGTTCTGTTGTTTGGTCTGTGTTTCAGGAACTCAGAGATTGTTTTTTTTTTTTTTCTTTTTTTTGTCACTTCTGCTCTAAGACCTGTTGTTCCTCCCACCACGTACTCGTCCAAAGTCAACAGTTGTGTTTTGGAAAAGCTGTGTTTGTGTCTGGCTGAACTCATGTACAGGTTTATGTGTCCTCTATAAACATTCAATTAAAATCTCTCCTTTTTCAGGGCTGTGTCATCAGTGTGGAGAAATGGCTGCTGGACAACTGTGGGGTTATTCTAGGACTGTGTGTCTGCGTGGCAGTTGTGGAGGTACAGATTTTTAACAAGCTTTGAGATTTTTATTTTGTAAAGTACAAAGTAGCTGTCTACTGTTGTCTAAGTTGTTGGTAAATTACACAACCTAGGTGCCGTTTTCTCTAAGGTTTGGGAAAGATTTATTGTCAAACTTTATTATAGTGGAACTTGATTATCAAAACATTTTTTCCTTTATTATTCCTTTTGAAGAGAACAAGTCAGTCGTCTATATACATGCAAAATAAACAATAATTGGCTATCATTTACTTTGAATTATTGATTAGTAAATTGGTAATAATTTGTAAATGAATGTTATTGCTGTAGTCGTTCTTTCCAAAATCATTTTTGTCTGCTTTATAAACAATAAAGGAACTGAGACACTTTTATATACACATAAAAAACCCCACCAATAAAAAAACAAAGAAAAACTCATAAAATAGTCAGCAGTAAAATGACTGTACAATGTTGTTTCCCTCTTCAGACAAGTACATTTTGTCAAGTCGACACTTTATCGGCATCGGTTTTCTTCTGATTGAAGTCAGTTTTTTTTCTCTTCCAGCTCCTGGGGATGATTTTGTCCATGTGTCTGTGCAAGAGTGTCGTCCAGGAGGATTACACCAAAGTACCCAAGTACTGAGCTGACGACCGACCAGCTTCACACAACGCACAGATGGACAGACTTTCTTTACTTCTCCTTGTCCCACTCTCTCTCTCTCTCTCTTTTTCCACACACACACACACACACACACAAATTGAGACAGCTGTTCCTCAGTTTTGAGCGTCTCCTTATTCCACATTTGTGTATGTTTCTCACTTACCAAATGTTCTACACACACAAACACACACACACACACACACCTCAAAGTCAGACACTCTTTAGACGACAGGTTTGTGAAAACATTTGTATAGCCTGAAATTTTTAACATTTTGATACTACGCAGATGTTGATCCTGTTTTTATTTTTTTTATCAGCTGACCTCAGAGAAGCGCTTCCTGTAGTTGTAGATAGAGCACTTTAGTAACTTTTGTTGGGCTCAGAGCTGAAACATCTTACGACTCCAGAGCAGCGAGGGTGGAGGAAAGTGGAGTTTTTTTTTTTTGTGGTGTGGTTGTATGTGTGGTGGACACTCTTCAGGACTGATGCCACTCTGATCCTGCAGCTGGTATTTTTGGAGTAGAGGGTGGAGATGAGGCCCAGGGCAGGGCTGCTGTGGTGGAGGCTACGGCTTCTGTCATCAAGTCGTCTCTGTCGGGAGCTTTAATGTTAACTTTCACTCTCATCCATCATCTGTTCATGTCCCTCCTCCAACTCTCCTGTCCTCATCCTCCTCTCAGACCAACCTGGAGCATCCAAAAATGACTTGGCACTTGGCATGAAGTTAATGTGTGTGTGTCTGGTATGCTGCGTGACTGTGTCATTTTTTCATGTTGTTGTGTAATCTGTTTTTTTCCCCCTTCTTTTTACTGTACAAACTGTTTTTTTTTTATGGTTAGGGATCACAGCACTTTAGTGCTCACTCAGTGTTTTATAAGTGAAGGTTGTCACCCACGTACTATTGATCCAAGAGTCTGATTGTGCGTTGTTTCCTTTCTAGTACTGCTGATGTACCACGTGTGGCTGCAGCCGCAGCAGTTCGTCAGCAGTATTTTAATCTGAATCTGAGAAATCTGAAGCCAGAGAGTAAAACTCTCATCACGCCTGAAACAATATTTTACTTCCTGTGGAAATGGGACAATGCTAACATCCACAAATGTTTATTTTGACAATTTAACTGCAATTCCAACAACTCAGTTGTCAACTGTCAGACAATATACTGACTCTATTTTTATCCTAATTATTTTCCAGGTCATCTCATTTCATTTTGAACATTTTTTAATTTAATCTTGATTTTTACAAGTTATTTCTAATGCTGCCCTCAGTTTGGACTGAATGTTCAGTATGTTTCAAGAAGGAAAGTGACTTTTCTTTTTTACAAGACAGTTGTCTTTTCAGTCACTTTTTAGGACCTGCAAAATTGAAAAAAAAAATTAAATTAAAAAGATATGAAGGTTTTTTATTTGTTAATTATTTTATACTCATTTACATTGAATAAGTTATCTTTGTAGTAGAAAAAAGTATGTGTGAATCTGTAAGTCATGTTTAAAAGATTTCGAACTTGTTTTTGCAATTGAAACTATTAAAACAGTTCAAGTCCACACATGTGAACGTCTCTTTATTTTATAATCACTACTGTTCATTTCGACCAGTTTGGATTCGTGTCTCTCTGATCATCCGTTACGTCTATATCAGACTCGTCCAGAAGGGGGCAGTATTTACCCATGGCTGTCACTTGTCAAGAAATAAAAAGGTTAAAATAAAAGATGTTATTTAGTTGATTAATCACGTTTTGAAAGTTGTTGTTTTTCCCATAGCCAGTGGTTTAATTGTTAGCTTTATGTGTATTATTGATGAAATTGTTAATTTCCTCCCTTCTTATTTCTCTAGCTCTGAGCTATTTGATTTCTTTTTGTGATTACGCCGTCTCCTTAACTATTGTATTTTCAGGGTAATTTAGTCTGAATACCCGGTGGCTGAAATAAAAGAACTCACACCCATTCATCCGACTGCAATAACAGAATTTATCCTTTTCACAAAAATAGAAAAAAAAATCTCTTAATACTAAATGTTTAACTGCATTTACTCTAATCAAAGAAAATGAGTCTCATGGCAGAACCTGCCAGAAGCAAACCCCTCACCAACACAGCTTTGAATCAGGACGGCGTGATGGCAGCCTGGACTCTCCTGCTGTTTTGATTCAACTGCACCTCATTGTTGTGAGAAGTTGAGCAGCTCAGTGTTGGACTCTTCACAGAGCTGCGTCCATGCTGAGGACTTCAAACAGAACACATACAGTTCTCATTTATAACATGTAGTACTGACCTGGAGAACTACATCTGCTGCAGATATTATTCCTACGTTCTATCATCCTTTGTTCTGCCCGCACGCTGCCTGCATGACTGTATCACAGATATAAAACCTTAATGAAAAATGTATTATTGATTACTATGGTTATTATTATTTGATAGTGGAATTTATAGTAGAACATACATGACTAATTATTAAAATAAAAAGATCAAAATAATTCACAAGAATTTTAGATGGTGACATTATTATTATTATTATTATGTTTTAAAATGTCTTCTTGTGTCTCATCGCTTGACTGTCCACTTCCTGTCCCTCTGTAGCCACACTGTCCCCTCCACCTGTGTTTCCCGCCACAGTGATTTCATAACCGTCTCCACTTGTCTCGTTAACGCCACCCCTGGTCACTCTTCACATACTGTATCTGCCAGTACGTCTCCTCTCTGCCAGTTTGTCTCTAGCCATTTCTCCTGTATGTTAGCCCGTTTAAGGCTTTATCCTAGCTTAGTGTTTGTTTATTTGTTTTTTCTCTTTTTTGTCTGTTTTATGAACCTGGCCCTTTAATAAATTCCACCAGCGTTCCACAGGACACTTCGTCAAAGTTCGCTCTTCATCCACACCTGAACTGTGTGTAAGTATTTCTGTCTTCCTCCTCCAGTAACAAACGCTGCTGCACTCACTCCATTGACTTAGACTTTTTTCTTTCTTGTTACTTTTCTTCTTTTTTTCCTGAGATACAGAATTAACTTGACGTAAAACCACCACGTGTTCACTGTTATTTCAACTGCAGCATCAATACAGGGACAGGGTTCAAGTTTGTCCACATCAGGAAACAACTGTTATTAATCACTTCAAGTTACTCTACCACTAGATGTTGCTAGAAGCTACACTGTTGAGTTTTCCAGATGGAACGACAATGAAGGGAAAAGAAAAAACCGAAATTGTAGCGACTTTTTGCACATGGTTCAAATTTATTGACGCAGGCTGTGGAAAACTAAATGGACCTTAAGTCAGTAGAGTCGGCTGTTCAAATCATCAGTACGCACACACACATACACACACTGGCATACCTTGACCACCAAACCCCAAGTCAGCTTTTTCTTCAGTTTGGAACCACAGCTTTTGTCTCCATTTGCAGAAGCAACGCCCAGTAAAGGAGAATATATTAAATTTAGCTTGACAGGTTACCTTCAACACACACATGCCCACCGTCTCACACACGCACACACAGAGGCATGGCCAGGCCAAAGACAATGAATGAGGAAGTCGTCTTTCCTGTATTTTTTCCACATAACAGTCAGTTAGTGAGTCCAGGATGTAGGAAATGAGGGGATGGATGATCCCTCTGAGACCTAATGAAATAAAATCATGAAAAATGATGAAGCTGTCCTGTCCATGTCTTCTATTAGCACAGTGGACACATTTTATAGAGCATCCTAATCTGATAATGTTGTCCCTGTGTTTGTTTATCGACCACTGTTGTATTTGTTGTATTTGTTTTATTTCACTGCAGTTTTTCTGCCCTGACTTTACTCACGTTTGTCGTCGTGCCACACACGTCTTTAAATGACATGATGTTTTATTTCCAAATGTCCCTGAGGTTAGTAATAAATCAACTACACTGAACTGATACCACGTTTTACACACACTTATAAGTACACTGATACTGTGTGCTCTCTCCAGGGTTGGGTTTTAAAATATGTGACGTATTGGAAGGCAGTGTTATTCTGCACAGGTGTCACAGTGTGTGGGTAGCAGGACAACCAAAGCATCTGGCAGGAAAATGTGTACAGTGTTTTCTTTTCATGAGCAGCAGGCTGTTTAAAAAAAATAAAAACATTTGATTCAAAAACTGAAACTGTTGTTACTTATGACGATATATGAATAAAAATAAGAATAAAATAAAATGATTAAAAAATGTAAATCTAGCTGAAAACAGCACAAGAATTAAGCATCAGAATAAATAATTAAATAATACAAACTACAGCCTTTTAAATCTATTGTCAAAAACATGACGGTGCACAAAATGTTTGCAGTGTTATGGTTGTGTTCAGGGACTCACATAGTCTTATGCTGCCCCCACAGAAATGAGCAGCTTTACAGCCTTTGGTTAAAAGCTGCTCCTCCGTCTGGTGGTCCAGCCCCTGGTGGTCCGCAGCCTCCTGCCTGAGGGGAAGTAAGTGAACGTCATGCCTGTGTGGTGGGTGGAGGTCTGTTTCCTACATCTATGCCAATGTTGTCAGCTCTTTAGAATGACACTGCTCTATGACCCTGAGTGACCCCCAACCTTAGACCCCAGCTTCCAGCAGCTGCACCTGTACACTGACCCTCCCTGCCCCTACTTCCTGCTCTGGCTTTCCTGTCCTTTATCTGAGGGATCATAGCATAAAAGCAAACAACCTGCACTCAGTCTGTCACGCATGGCCTTCTGATGGATGCATATAATAATGTAACCATCAGGCTCTACCCCCCTGTCTGCTGCCCATTACTTTACAGCCCCGGGATCTCTGCTCAGAATTGAGCCGAATGAGTCACAGTGTTTCTGAGTGACACAGAGAGGATTGGTCGACTTCCATTAGCTGTTTAAATTGTTTCTTTGATAGGCTGAGAAGCAGCAAGTCAGTGGGTGTCTTCCGCCTCATTTCCTGCCCAGCGGTTTGTTGGGTTCTGCCTTTGGACTGTTGCAGGATGAACTGTGACTCATACGCCGAGTCTCCTTGCTTTTCCTTTTTCCTTTTTCTGTCTTTTGTATTCCCTTCTCTCGTGGGCTAATACCATTTCATAAAGGCTGAAGGCTAAAGCTTTTCTCCCCGTGCAGCTTTTTTCAGCCTGCAGGGTGAACAGACCTCTATAATTACTCTGGCACAGCTTCACTACCTGCACAATGAGGATGTGAAGAAAATCCATCTGTACACCAGTGCACAGCAACACACATGAAAAACAGTGAAATTGGCATCATGACCAGTCAGCGAGGCAGGGCCGAGGTGTGGCTGATACTGTGTAGCAGGGATGAAAACAAAAAAAACCCCTCACTTTTTCACTTTTAATATATAAGCAGCATCAATCAACCAAAAAATTACATCATATTATCCTGCTCAATGTTTTTTTTTCTTTTTGGTTTTTCATATGCCATATCTTGGTGGATGGTTTACAACATTCTGATTTTACATTGAAATATTTAGTGGAACAGTGAAGAGGCAGTTTTAAAAGCTGCTTCATTCACTTTTTTTCTCAAATGTTTCCTGCATATTTCCAAAGTAATCACATACCTCTGTCGTCATTCTTACATCAGCCACTGTAACACCCACTTTTCCCCATAAAAAACTAACGTATTTCTATTTGTCTGTTAACTGAAAAACCGAACTTCTGAATCTCTACCTGGGAGACATGTATACCAGTGTGTCATCTGCATAGAATAGTTCCACTGTTGTGTTACTATAAGACCCAGTAGATGTAGGTCAATGTAGAACTGATCTGTGGGACTGGATATTTTAATGGTACTGTCAGTGTATTAGTGACTTGATTCTAGTCATGGTCCTAGAACTGTTGGAGAACTGATTGGGACCACAATTTTGAGTCATGGTACGGTCATGGGAATCAAACCTGCTGTCTGTAACCAGTGAGTAACAATCTCTACCCACTGAACTGCTGTTCACCAACTGTATTACTTCATTATCACACAGATTGTTCCATTTGTACAGCAGTCAAGTCACAATATTGTTAAAATACTGCACAGAACACACACTATAATTACTTCTCCCTCCAACTAACTACTTGAGAATGTTTGTGTGTGTGTGTGCACTTTGAAATGTATACAGCAGCTCTAAGTGTGTTTGTGAGCGTGCTTGGTTCTTGAGTGGGTGTGGGCTCTGATTGATGGAGCTGCTGGTGGAGACAGCACTCGGCTGATTGCAGCTACAGGCAGCACTAGTCTCCTCATTAACCTATGATAATGCACCTGCCACCCTGACACCACAGTGTTGCAGCTCATCGGTTGTGGATGGCTGTTCTTGTTTCTTCTTCTTCTTCTTTTTTTCCCTCTTGCCCTACTTTGCCCCGCTCATCCGTCTCCTTCTGTCTTTTTCTCGCTCAGTTTATTTGGCAGTCGTGTACATTAACGCACAAAGTAAGTGCTGCCATTTGGAGAGACTTGCTGAGTCTGTGCCAAATCTGGCCATTTGCAGATGGAGGTTGTTGGGCATGTATATTCCCCCCGTGCTGACTTAACGGCAGCAGCAGCAGCCACCACCACAGTATTTAACAGAATCTATGTCCAGTAACCCACTGAGAGCAG